AGTCCCTATGTCTCCATACCAGCCCCTACTCTGTTTTCTAGGACCTTAGTTGATTGAAGGCAGGTTTTTTTTTTTGTAAGAGTCTCACTGTGTTGCCTGGGCTAGAGTGCCGTTGTGTCAGCCTAGCTCACAGCAACCTCAAACTCCTGGGCTCAAGCGATCCTCCTGCCTCAGCCTTCCGAGTGGCTGGGACTACAGGCATGCGCTACCATGCCTGGCTATTTTTTTTCTATATATTTTTAGTTGGCCAATTAATTTGTTTCTATTTTCAGTAGAGACGGGGTCTTGCTCTTGTTCAGGCTGGTCTTGAACTCCTGAGCTCGAGCAATCCGCCTGCCTCGGCCTCCCAGAGTGCTAGGATTACAGGCGTGAGCCACTATGCCCGGCCTGAAGGCAGTTTTAGTGGTTGGTCCGGGGTGGGATACACTGCTTTGTGCCACTGGGTTCTCAAATTCTCTTTGCTTTGGGCTGTGCAATGCTGGGGAGAACTGCTCGTGTGTCCAGGTGGTGTGGAGTTACAGGGAGCTGGTTGTGCCATGGAAAGACCTGGATTTTTAATCCTGTCACCTCTGTGGACCTGGGTAAGCTTTGGGGACTCAGTTTCCTCATCTGTAAAATGGGATTCTAATCTTGACCTTCCCAGCCTTCCCCAAAGGAAAGGCGAGAGGCTCACAGGGATAAAATGCTCTGGGAGGTGTGTGGTATGTCACAAGCGAGGTGACAGGGAAGCTTCGAGGATGGAGCTGAAGGAGCAGCTTGAAAAGAAGAGCGCAGGCTGGACGGATGGAGGGACGAGGCCAGACAGGCAGACACAACGCGGTGGAAGAATTTTAGAGATAGAGACAGAGAGAGGGAGAGACAAAGCAAAAACACAGAAACAAAGAGAAACGGAGAGAGACGGGGAAGAGGTGGTTGTTGCTGGAAGAAAAAAGTCGGAGGCAAATTCAAGCTCAAGGCTCTGACTGCCTGGCGCCCCGAGGATGTTTGCCTGGCCAGTGGAGAGGTTGGCAGGACAGGGCCTGCCCTGCGGCCCGTGCCACCTCTTGCCTGGACCCTCTCCCTCTATCCAGGCCAAGAGGGCCTGGGCCTCTCTCTGACCCGTGGGTCCCTGCCTCTTCTCCCTTTGCTTTTCGTACAGCACAAGGAGGCCAGAGCGGGATGCCAGCGCCTTCCTCCCCCATGCCCCAGCACCTGGGATGGGCATGTGCTCCTTGTCGCTGTTGCTGCGCTCTGGTCTCCCACTCCTGGAGCAGCCACAGCAGGTCCCAGGGGCCTGGAGACAACAAATGGCTCCCTGCTGTCGGGCTGCTCGCTGCCTCCTGCCCACTGCACACCGTGTGCAGCCCGTTCCGCTGCACACCGGCGGATAATCATGTCAGGCAAGGGGACCCCTCCTGCCTGTGGTGGTGTGATTTAAACCTGAACTTTGCTTTGCTTTCTTTCATCCCCTGGAGAAGCAAGATTTAGATTATAAATTTCCCTGTCTTCCTGGGGACGTGTACACACATAAGTGCACGGACCACACTTGCATGCACACACAAAGGTGCTCACACATTGCAGACTCCCCATGCATGCTTGCACATGTGTGAATACTTACACATAAACATGTTCACCCATTTCCAAACCGCACGTTACACGATCACACATGATGCATCTGTACGCACACACAACTCACGGCCACAGGTGAGGGCGGGAGGAAAATTCGTTGGTGGCTGGAACAGCTGTGATGTATTCCCATCACAGCTGCGATGGGTGGGAGACGGTGAAGTGAACAAGAGATGCTGCAATTGCAAGAAATTCTCCAAACCTCACCGTACCTCGTTCATGGAAGAAGGGAATGAGGTTTGTGTTCTTGCACGAATGTGAATGCCTCTCTGTGTGTAAGTGTGTGCGTTTATCTGTGAGTGTTTTGCAGGCGTGAGTGTCTTTGTTGAGCGCGGAGGTTGACAGTCTGTGGACAGGGGAGAGTGTGGTATATTGCACAGGACGCAGGACAGGACTCCTGTCCATGGTACCACTGCCACGCTGCTGGCCTGGGCAAGCGGAGGCCCCTCTCTGCCGGCCCTTGAGGATCCTGCCTGTTCTGACCTTCTAGTCTCTCTAGGGTGACCTTGAGGGTGTGTTTCTTGGAAGCGTGAGTAAGCTGGGCTCGGGGGTGTATGTGTGTTTGATGAGTGTGTGTCTGTGCTGGGTATGTTTGTGTGCGTGCTCATGCGTAGGTGTGTTGTAGGTGTGTTTGTGTGACTGTGCTTTTCACAGCAGAGAGGGTTCCCGTGTGCCTGTGTTTGTATTGTGAGTCGGCGTGGAGTCTAGCCCGAGTGTGTGTGACAGTGAGTTTGGGAGGAGATCTGGGGGAGGATTTGTGAGCACGGGAGACCATCTTGCTTAAAATTGCACACCCCTTTCTTACTCCTTTCCTGCTTTCATCGTCTCCACGACATTGGTACCGTTGGACGCACTATATATTTACTTCTTTGTTTATGTTTTCACTCCGAGAAGCTAGAATGTAAGCTCCACGAGGGTAGGAATTAGCTGTTCTGTTCATGACTGTGTCCCCACCATTAGAACAGTGGCTGGAGCACAGCGGCATAGTAGATGTTCTATGAATATTTCTAGAATGAATGAATGAAAGAATGAACAACTTGATCATCCTCCTTCAAGAATTCTCTTATGTGTTGCTCTCTTAATGAGGTCTTGATCACTTTACTTAAAATTGCCACCTGCCCCTCCCTCTAGCACTTCTATTCCCCTTACCTTGTTCTAATTTTTCTTTTGTCTATATCACCTTCCAATGCACTAAGTGGTTTACTAACTTAAGTTTATTTTTTATTTACTCTCCTAAGTTGGTTTTTTCTTTTTAATTGTCGGTATCCCTGTTAGAATGAGAGCCCTCACAAGGATGGAACCTTTGTCCAGTGTGTGCACGATGCAGTCCCCAAGCTTTTTGGCACCAGGGACTGGTTTCATGGAAGGCCATTTTTCCATTGCCATGGACCGGGGGGCGGGGGATGGTTTCGGGATGATTCAAGTGCATTACGTCTCCACCTCAGATCATCAGGCACAAGGAGCCTGCAACCTAGATCCCGCGCACGCGCAGTTTACAGAAGGGTTCATGCTCCTATGAGAATCGGATGCTGCCAGTAGCGGTCCATGGCCTGGAAGTTGGGGACCGCAGCACTAATGGACTGCGAGTGCCTAGAGCAGTGCCTGGCATGGGGCAGGTGCTTCGTCAATATTTATTGAACGAATTCTGTGGTTGTGAGGGTATGAGCGGACTTATGGAGTGTTCTGCATGATTGTGCTTGTCAAGCAAGTGTTTGCGTGTGTGTGTGTGTGTGTGTGTGTGGTTTTTTTTTTTTTTTTTTGAGACAGAGTCTCACTTTGTTGTCCAGGCTAGAGTGAGTGCCGTGGCGTTAGTCTAGCTCACAGCAACCTCAAACTCTTGGGCTCAAGCGATCCTACTGTCTCAGCCTCCTGAGTAGCTGGGACTACAGGCATGCACCACCATGCCTGGCTAATTTTTTCTATATATATTAGTTGTCCAATTAATTTCTTTCTATTTATAGTAGAGACAGGGTCTCACTCTTGCTCAGGCTGTTTTCGAACTCCTGACCTTGATCAATCCGCCCGCCTCGGCCTCCCAGAGTGCTAGGATTACAGGTGTGAGCCACTGCGCCCAACCTGCAGGTGTGTTTTTGATTGTGTGGGTGACTATGTTTGGAAGGAGGGTGGCCTTGCCCCAAAGCTCTGTCCTCTGAGGCCCACAGGGCAATTGTCGGACAGAGGCCTCAGGTTCCCGGCATCTTGCCTGGACATTGTCCAGGGTTTGCAAATGGACTCATGAATGGCTTTCCCAGGAATCTCTAGGAATCTCTACTTTGACTGGCTGCCCCCCTGGGGCCCACAGGCCTGAGCCCCAACCCTGGCTGCCTCCTGGGTCTACTCCCCACTCTTCCCATGGCAGATCTTGGCCCCAGGCCTAGGGAATTCCCTCAACCTGCAGCCCAGTCTGAGTCCTGGGCTGCGAGGAGTCAGGAGAAGCGTGGCAGCTGGTGGTCAGTGCTGGAGGACTAGGGCGCCATGTGGGGCGGCTGGACTCAGCATCTGGGTAGTCTGGGTACCAGGGCTGGGAAGAGGGCACCTGCGGTACCACTGGGGCAGGTGTGGACCTGTCTGCTGGGGTTCAGGGGGCAGCGGTCTGTCCAGAGACATCAGGGCTTGGTAGCAGGTGGCTGCCCCTGATGAGGGCCTGGGGAAGAGGGTCAGGCTGGCCTGGTGCTTGGGCTGCGGGGAGTCAGGGCCTGGGCACTGAGGGGCTTCACCTGTGAGTGTGGAGGTCTGCTTCTGGGGCCCAGATGAAGAACCCACTGGTCCGGTCTTCAAGGATTGATGGGGTCTGTGCCTCAGTGGTCCCTTTTTATGTGCAGGGGGTGGGCACGGAGCTGCTGCAAGGTGGAGTGAGGAGAAGCCACCCTGTGGATGATGGTATCAGGACTCCAAAGGTGCTCAACCAAGAGGAACTTTGGGCTGAGGCCTAAAAGCCAAGGGACTTTAGGAGGGCAGGGCCAGGGACAAGGAGCTCCTTTGGGCCGACACTCAGGAAATCCCGTGCTGGAGAGTGCAGGGGGCCGTGGTCACACCCTGTTGGACTTGGTGTGTGCTGTGCTGAACTTCTCAAGGGTTATTTAGCCTCAGTTTCCTCATTGGCAACATGGAGATACTTTTTTTTTTTGAGACAGAGTCTCGCTTTGTTGCCCAGGCTGGAGTGAGTGCCGTGGTGTCAGCCTAGCTCACAGCAACCTCAAACTCCTGGGCTCAAGCAATCCTACTGCCTCAGCCTCCGGAGTGGCTGGGACTACAGGCATGCGCCACCATGCTCGGCTAATTTTTTCTATATATATTAGTTTGCCAATTAATTTCTTTCTATTTATAATAGAGACGGGGTCTCGCTCTTGCTCAGTTTTGAACTCCTGACCTTGAGCAATCCACCTGCCTTGGCCTCCCAGAGTGCTAGGATTACAGGTATGAGCCACCGCGCCTGGCCGATACCTTTTTTTTTTTAATTCTCCTAGTGGAATTGGAAGGATCACATTGTCATCACTACTGTTATTTCATTATTAACTCCCCCACCCACAGGTCCAGGAAGGGAAGACTGTGTTGGCAGGAATTCAGATAAAAAAGACCCAAGGTTTAGGCTGATCTCAAATTAGTGTGAGGCTCTAGTGTCACGGTGAAGTCTGTGACACTTAGAAAAGAAGACAGTGATCCCTGGAGCCAACATGGGTTCACCAAGACCAAGCACACCTTTTAGGTTCTCAACAGCTGGTGGATAAAGAAAATGAGCCAGCAGGGGGTGGAGAGGAATCTGGTATTTACTGAGCACCTACTGTGTGCTGGGCACATCACACACATGGCCTCACTTAATCCACACAGGTTTGTGTTCCAGATGTGACGATCTCCATTTTACGGATGAGAAACTGAGTCTCTGGGAAGTTAAGTGACTTGCCCAAGATCAGCTGAGCTGGGATTCAAACCTGGATCTGTCTGACCCTTTCTGCCATGTCACACTGCCTCCTAAGACATTAGACAGAGTCCCTCAGGACTCTTGAGGACGTGAGGGATGGCCGTGAGGGCACAGCGGGGGCTCCCATCTGGCTGAATGACAGCCATGGAATATTCTTAAAATGCAACCAGGTCAGTCTTCGGAAGGTCTTTAGAGACCTTCCACCTGTTCTGAGCAATCTGTGCCAAGGACCCAGAAGAGGACATGGTGGGGACAGGCCTGGAACAGTAGGAGATGGTAGAAAGCTCCAAGGGACAGAGAAAAGTTCAGATAGCAGAATCAGGTTTTAGAAAGATTTCAACAGGTTGGAGTGACAAGGTGAATTTAGCATGATGAACCATCACAGGGATAAATGCTGGGGCCCATCTTGACTACAGGAAAAAATTGTGGAGGGGAACAGCAGCTCATGAGAAAGAGATTTAGGAGCTCCCGTGCCAGTGAGTTCAGAATGCCTCGGCAGGCACATTAATAGAGGTGTGGCATTTGGGAGGAGGGGGCCCACCCTCCAGCTTCAGTTTACTCTGTGCCCTGGGGCAGTTTCTGTTGTACTTGGTTGAAGATCAGGTGCTATTTTCTGTTTTTCAGTTTTCCCCCTTTCCTTTTGGGTTCTTAGGGGAGACAGAACCCTTCTGGAGTTTGACCCTTGGGTTCCATGCAGAGCAGCCCCCAGAATGACACTTTGGAAGGTGGGGAAGAGGCTGCAGATTTTCTGAGCTTTTGTTTGAACAGCACATGTTGGATTTGATCTTTATGTGCACCTACCCTCATTCAAGGGAGAGGAAAGTGTTGGTCCCTGAATGTTCTGGACCTGGGAGGGGTCCTGGTCCCCTGGCACCGGCCAGGTGTATCCGCCCGTTTTCCAGCTCTCTCCTTTCCTGCTTATGGCCCGTCCTGGTGGTCAGTGACGGGTGGTGTCGGGGCCTGGCTGGGCTGGAGGCGGAGCAGGAGCAGGGAACCTTGCTCTGCTCACGTGGGGTCTGGATCCCTGCTCGAGCTGGGGCGTCACCTGCCAAGCTGAATCCGGCGCAGGAAGCGCCTGGCTGGGAGACGCGCTGTTTGATTTGGAGGCTCTGTTCCACTCCGAAATGCGCTTCTCCTGGCAGCTGCAAGGAAGTGAAGCTGTTGAGCTTCCCTCTCTTATGCCAGAATCACAGCCACTTTTTCCTGAGAAAGAAACAGGGCTGCAGACAGTTTTACTCATTAAATACTTTTTTTCCTCTTAAATCTGTTTTTGTAATTTTTTTTTTTTTTGCAGGAACGGAAAAGTAAAACGGATGATATTGAAATAAACAAGGCATTTGTGATGGGAAGGTTAAAGCAGATTGTTGGGGGTGGGGAGGGGGCTGGAAACGCCCCACGTTCCTGCATGCAGGCTGCTCATAGCCTGTCGAGGACGGGAGCGAGAGAACGTGTTCGTGAGGCTGCCCAGCTCCCAGCCCAGAGGGGTCCACTTCTCCAGGTGTCTTGAGCTTCACTGAGAAGGGCGGTGGGGAAGGGAGCTGCCATTTATTAAGAGCCTACTAAGTGCTAGGCCTGTGAGCTCATTTCATCCTGCTAACAACCCTGGGTGGTAGAGCCCATTTTACAGATAAGGAAAGCAGAGGCTCGGATGGATTAAGGTCAGCAATCAATGACGTACAGAGCTAAGACTGGAACCTCGATCCGTCTGACCTCAGATGCCATGCTCTTGCGGCTATACTTTGTTCCCCCGAGCAGCTGTGTACCAAGCCAGGGGATGTGGAAGGAGAAGGAGGAGCAAGACGGTGGTGAAGAGGCATCAGCCAGCCCTGCAGAACGGGCATCCTGCCTGGCGAGACTGAACAAGACACTGACCGCATGTGAGTGCGCCAGGCCCTAGTTGCTGGGTTCTGGCAAACACGGCTGGTTGGGGAAGGGTGTGTGTGTGTGGGCGTGGGCGTGGGGTATGGTAGGTTTGGTTTGATAATGAAGATCGCTTCTCGAGGGTGGAGGGCCCTGGAAGTTGAGTGGAGTTGAGGGAATGGCCTTGCAGCAGCCTGAGCCGAGGCAGGGAAGGTGCGAGTCTGGCTTGGGCGAGAGGAGGGGAGTCAGGGTGGGGTGGAGATGGCTGTGGTGAGAAGATGCGTGTTGGCAGTGGACGATCGGGTTGGAGACTGTATGCCAAGCGAGAGGCTGGGAGGCAGGGAGGCAGGGGCCTGGCTCTTGTCCTGGGTCTGCCATTGACTTGATGCGTGATCTTGGGCAAATCCTTTTCCTATTCTGGGCTTCAGATTTTTTCTGTCTTTAAAATGGTGGAATTGGACTACAGGATCCCTAAGGACATTTACAGGGTTCCAAGAAGAAAGAAGGTGACAACAGAATCCAGAGGGCCTTGAATGTCAAGACTTGGCATTAGAGTCATGGAATATTAGGACTAAAAGGGCCTCCAGGGATCATCCACCTAGACTTCTTGCTTCGCACCTTCAAGGATGAGTAGGAGTTGTTGAGGCAGAGGGAGGGAGATGGGAGGGAAAGAGGGTTCCAGGCAGGAGGTGCAGCGTGAGCAAAGGCGTGGATGGAGGCAAGAGGGAACACCAGGCAGGTTGGTGTTGGGGAATAAAGACCAACATGGGGTGGAGGAAGAGGTGAGTGATCAGCAGGAGAGGGACATGGGGCAGACCTTGGAGGACCAAGGGGCTTTGACTCCATCCTCTGGGTAATGGGGAGCCATCGAAGGGGTGGGAGTGATGAGCTCAGAGGTGCACTTTTGAAAGATCACTTTGGCAGCTTTGTCGATGGTGGATTTGACAGGGCTGGGAGTGGGCACAGGCCAAGAATGAGTGCTGAAGACCAGCTAGGAAGCTGGAGAGAGATGGTGGTGGTCTGGGCCAGGGTGGCAGAGGGGGCACGTTGAGGACAGCACCTGTTCACGAGATATTTAGGCAGGAGAAAAGATAGGACTTGTTGCCTCATTGGATGTGGGGAGTAAGGAAGAGGAGAGTCCAGGACTCCCGGGTTTCTAGCTTGGTGATATTCATTGAGGCAGGAATCACAGGAGGAGAGAGAGAGATTTTTGGGGAAACATGATGAGCTCAGTTTTAGATTTGGTGAGTTTGATATGTTAATCGAATATGTATGTATTGGCTCATTCATTCATTCATTCATTCACTCATTATTTATTGAGCATTTACTATGTGCCAGCCATGGCTGGACACTGTCTTCCTGTAGCTGTCAGTCTAGAGTGGCATTTAGAAAGTACTTCCATATGCTGAACCTCGATCTGCTGAGCTTTTTTTTTTTTTTTTTTGAGACGGAGTCTCACCCTGTAGCCTGGGCTAGAGTGCTGCAGCATCAGCCTAGCTCACAGCAACTTCAAACTCCTGGGCTCAAGCAATCCTTGTGTCTCCGTCTCCCAAAGTGCTGGGATTACAGGCATGGTCTGAACCTGCTGAATTTTTACCCACTGATCTTCTGCCCTGCAGGATTCTGTTTCCTTCAGAGGTTAGAGATCAGTGATTGTGATTCCCTGCACTGTCTTCGCTTCGGGGAACCTGGAGCTGTGAAGAGAATGTGGACTTTAGAAAATTGTAAAGCAATGGGTTTCAGCCTGAGCTCCTTTTGTGTGATCTCATCTGTTAAGTGGGCTTAACAGGCAGCAGCGTGCTGGAGGGGGTTCCTACTGACTTTTGGAACCGATTGAGAGCATCTCATCCCAACTCTGTTTGATGACATCCCACTGGTAGCTTGAACTTGACCACTGTGGGAGTATTTACACCACAGAAGTTGGCAAATGCTACGAAGTCAGGGCTCCTTCTTTTCTTCCAAAGGGCTGGTTGGTAAATATTTCCCAGCTGATATTAAATATTTACTGCTTACAGAGTTATGGTTAGAATGATGGATGTTGAGCATCTGGCACGTGGCACCCACATATGCACACATACATAGCACACAGTAGGTACCTAATAAGCGTGACTATCTTCTCCTTTGATGTTTCCTTTGTATGGGAAAACCCTCACTTCATTTGCTCAGAATAAGAACTTCCCTTGAGCTAGGGACTGCTCCTCACTTCTCAGACTACTGGTCCCAGCAGGAGCTGCCACCTTTTTACTCCCCTTGGCCTCCAGGGAGGGGTGGAGTCAAAAGGAGGAGGATTTTGGAGTCTAAGAGTCTAAGTCTGAATCTTGGCTCTGCCTCCTGCTAGCTGTGTAATGACCCCGGGCAAGTTATTTAATCGCTCTGAGCCTCAATTAAGTCACCTGTAAGCTGGGGATGGGCATGCCCCTCATTAAGTTGTTGTGAGGACGAAATGAGGTAATGGGTACTGCAGGGCCTGGCATTGAGGTGGCGGTTTCAGTGAGAGCTTGACCAGCGCTGGGCTCCTTCCTCCGAAAAGTGCAGCGTGGCTAAGCAGCTCTGAAGATGGGGAGGGCAGAGGTGGGGAGGAATCGGGCTGCAGCCTGGGGAAGGATGTTCCTGGTGGAACATGTAGGTCGGGAGAGGCTGTGGGCGGTGGGACCCTCCAAATGTATTCCGAGTGCGGTGGAGGGGAACTCCCCTGGCCGCAGTTCGCAGTTCGCCTTCCGGGGCCCTCACCTGCAGATCGGCAGATAAACTCCCATTGTCGGCTCCGCTGGTGGGTTTCTGGGGCGGCTGTGGCAGCCGGGCTGCCCTGATTTACCACCCCGGCCCCAAGCAGATTAAATCACCCAGAGTCATTTGAATCTTACCCGGCCTTGTCACACAAATCTTGGAAACTGCTGTCTGGCAAGAAAACTTTCTCTGTACTTTTGGGAGGAAGACTAAGAGCTGTAGAAATTGAGGTGAAGTGGAAAACCGAGAGGGCTGCAGGGGGTTTGAGGCGGGGGTTGGGGGTTGGAGGAGGGAGTGTGTACGTGTGTGTGCGCGTGTGTGTGCATGTGTGCAATAGCTGCAGAGGCATCTGGGACAATGTCTCTGGCTGTGTGACATAGAGCAAGTCACTTAACTCCTCTGAGTGTCACAGAATTGTGGCGAGGGGCTAGTTGTCTAAAATGTTGAGTAGACTTCAATCAGTTCTGTGATTACTAATTGGGAAGATGGGACAAATGACGATACAGGTAAACTATATGTGGCAGTGGTTACCATGTGTTGAGCAGAGGGTAAGAGCTCTGCGAGCTAAATGCAGGGGCACGTTGCCAGAAGTCTGGGGCTTGCCTGGGCCTTAAAGGAAGCCCAAGTCCCAGGGAAAAGAAGTAGAAGAGGCTGTCAACACCACACGTTCATTTCTATCCGTGTGTGGGGCTCTGGAGATGGGTCTTGATTGGTTTAGTCAATCCAGATAATGGTCCCTTCCTCTGACCGTGGCACATTTGTTGATTCTAAACTAATCACACACATAGTCTGCTAGTTCCAGGGGTTGATGCAGGTTGGCCAAATCAGACAGAAACTAGGGTTTTTATTGGCTGGCTGGGGAAGCACACATCTAATCTCTGTCTGGATTTGAATGAGAAAACATGTGGTCCTAATTTCTGGCAGGCATCTGGTGACTAGCAACAGTAACCTGAGAATATAGCCACCATATGGAGGTGGGAAAAACCTAGAAACATCCCAGAAAAATGGAGTTCCAGCCCCGATCAAACTGTGCCTGATGTCTGTTGCATCTGGAGTATTCGGTAAGTGAACTAATAAATCTACTTTATTAAACCAGTTTGGATTTCATTTTTGGATTACTTGCAACATAAAAGTTGATGCAAGGGCTGATGGAGGCATCTGCGCAGGAAGGCAGGAACCTGGTTGGTACTAGGCAGCCGTGAACGCGGAGGACATCTAGGCTGGGGTGCAAGGTCCGTGGGGTGATGGCTGGGGGACCACAGGAAAGGAGGCTGGAAGTCTGGGGTTTAGGGATGGAAGGACTCAGACACAAGTTTAAGAATCTGGGCTTGATTCTGTAGGCAATGGGGAGGAACGGAAGATTTGTGAGCAGAGAAGGGGAAGTGATAAGCAATGTGAACACAGTGGTATTTTGGGAAGATCAACCTAAGAGTGGGATATATATGTATATATAGATTGGATTAGGAGGAGAAGTTGGAGGCTGAGACTTAAAAAAAATTGTCATTTACCGATATTGCACATAGTTCATGTATTATCTCACTTAATCCTTAAAACAGCCACTCTTTTTTTTTTTTTTTTAAGTTGAATTTCAAGATCTTGAATAACTTGACTTGATCATAGAGAGTAAATGGTGGAGTCAGGATTTGAACACAGGTCATCTGACTTCAAACCCTGTGCCCTGTTCATCACATCCATGATAATACAGGTGACAAATGAATATCAGATAGACTAAGATATTGGCTATGGGGTAGAGAGAATGGGACAAGAGACATTACGTTGGTGAAACCCTAGGTATAGTCTCACTAAAGTCAGAAACTAGACCAGGGTAGCTGTTGTTATCAATATTTTTTTTTTTTTTCTTTTTTTTTGAGACAGAGTCTCACTTTGTTGCCCAGGCTAGAGTGAGTGCCGTGGCGTCAGCCTAGCTCACAGCAACCTCAAACTCCTGGGCTCAAGCGATCCTTCTGTCTCAGCCTCCCAAGTAGCTGGGACTACAGGCATGCGCCACCATGCCCGGCTAATTTTTTCTATATATATTAGTTGGCCAATTAGTTTCTTTCTATTTATAGTAGAGACGGGGTCTCGCTCTTGCTCAGGCTGGTTTCGAACTCCTGACCTCGAGCAATCCGCCCGCCTCGGCCTCCCAGAGAGCTAGGATTACAGGCGTGAGCCACCGCGCCTGGCCAATATTTTTAAAAACATTTTTCCTAAAGCGCTGGTGCAATTAGATGAGAAGGTGAAATAGGAAGTATAAATTATGGGGGAGACGAGTAAATAATCATAGTTTACAGATAAAATGATTATTTATCCAGAAAACTCAAGACAATTTCCTGAAAAACAATTGCAAAAAATAGAGTTTAGTAAAATAGCCAGTAACAAAACAATTTACACAAACTAATAGCTTTTCTATTTGTAAAATGACTATCCAGATGGTAAAATAAGGTGTCAAGAAGAAAACAAAAAAACACAAAATACCTGGAAATAAACTTTACAAGAAATATGTATAATTACATGAAGAAAACCAGAAAATTCTTCTGAGGTATATAAGAGACTTGAATAAATATGATACATACCGAGTTCTAGGGTAGAAAGATTTAATACTTTAAGTATGTCAGTTCTCCTTCCATGAATGTATAAAATTAAGATAATCCAATCAAGATCTCAACAGGATTTTTAAAGAATTTGACAAAATAATTATGAAGCGAATCTGGAAGAATAAAAAATAAGAGTAGTCAGGAAAATTCCAAGAAAGAAAAATGATAAATATTTATTTACTCTATCAGATATTAAAATGTTTTATAAAGGGACAATGATTAAAATTCTTGTATAAGAAAGACAGATCATTGGGACAGAAGAGAGTCCAGAAATGGATGCAGATATTTAAGGGGATTTTAAAAATATGATCAAATGGCATTTCAATTGCATTGGGAAAATATAGGCTATTTTATAAATGGTGTTGGGATAATGGCCCAGCCATTGCAACACGGGCTGGTTTTCCACCTTACTCCAATAAGATTAAACCATGAAGACTGTGGTGGTATACATATTTTGATCATTTTCTTTTTTTAGAGATGGAGTCTTGTTATGTTGCCCAGGCTGGAGTGCACTGGCTGTTCACAGGCATGATCATAGCACACTGCAGCCTCGAACTCCTGGGCTCAAGTGATCCTCCTGCCTCAGCCTCCTGAGTACTTGGGACTATAGGCATGAGCCACTGTGCCAGGATTGAATATTGTGATCATTTAAGGTAGGGAAGATTCTTCTATGTGTGACAAGTGTGATATCCAGAAATCATAAAAGAATAGATTGATAAATTTGACTCCATGAAAATTAAAAATGTAAGTACCTTAAAGAACATTATAAGAAAATTTTTAAAAAGAGGGAGGGAATATATATGATAAACAAAAGTTTAATATCTCTAATATAGCAGTCCCCAACGTTTTTGGCACCAGGGACTGGTTTCATGAAAGACAATTTTTCCACAGACTGGGGTGGGGTGGGGGATGGTTTGGGGATGATTCAGGCGCATTACATTTATTGTGCAGTCGAACCTCTCTGCTAATGATAATCTGTGTTTGTAGCCGCTCCCCAGCACTAGCATCACCGCCTCAGCTCCACCCCAGATCATCAGGCATTGGATTCTCATAAGGAGCCACAACCTAGATCCCTCACACGTGCAGTTTACAGTAGGGTTCACGCTCCTATGAGAATCAAATGGCGCCACTGATCTGACAGGAGGCGGAGCTTATGCGGTGATGCGAGTGAGGGGAGCGGCTGTAAATACAGATGAAGCTTCGCCTGCTCCCCGCTGCTCACCTCCTGCTGTGCAGCCCGGTTCCCAACAGGCCACAGGACTGGTACAAGTCTGCCGCCCAGGGGTTGGGGGCCACAGCTCTAATGGACAAAGAACGCTTACACATCATTAAGAAAAAGATCAACGTCTCATTAGAAAAATGGGCAAAGGGCATGAACAGGCAATTCAAGACGAAAATAACTACAAATGACTGAAAAAAACAAAAGATATTTATTTATCGTCACCAATAATCTCAGCAATGCCAATAAAAACGAGTGTCATTTGTCTTCTGTCAATCTGGCCAAACATGGCTGGCAAAACCTAGAGTTGGTGTGGGTATGGACAGACAGATGCCTGAGCGCTGTGGATGAGAAGTATGTTGCTGTAAACTTTCTGAAGGGCAGAGTGGCAAAATTAGAAATAGCACACCCTTAATTGCAGCAATCTCATTTATTGGATTTTATTCTAAGGTGATTTTTGCAAAAATGAGCAAAGAGATATGCACAAGGATATTTATCACAACATTGTTTATAAGAATAAAATGTTGACAACATCCTAAATGATCATCAGCAGAGACCCAGTTAAATAAAGTGTGATACATACATGCAAAGGAATACTATGAAGTAATTAAAATAATTTTGTAGAGCTCTATTTATTGACATAGAAAGATGTCTAGGACATATTGTTGGGAGAGAAAAGCAGGTGTCAGCGAGAACAGTATGTATAATACAATTCCTCGTCTATAAAATTATATACATAGATCTCTATGTGTATATATGCATAGAGATATGTCTGGAAGGCTGTTCACCAAAATGCTAGGAGTGGTTATATCTGGGTGGTAGGATTTTTACTTTCTTTTTCATACTTTTAAGTATTGGTTTGATTTCTTTTATTAATGAGGATATATCATGCTTTTCAATCAGAACAAATGATAATGCTATTTTCATTTTGGAAATAGGATAAATGCTAAATAGGAGGAGTCAGCACGTGGTGATGGATGTGGGTAAGGAGTCAAGGTGTGAGCCAGGAACTTGACCTGGGATGCGTGGAAGGACCATGCACCGTGGCAAACCGCGGGCAGGGGCTGATTCTGGAGGGAGGAGGAGGCTCCGGGTTTTCAGAGCTTCGGTGTGCGGGAGTGGCCGGTGGGCAGTAGGGCTGCCTCTTCTGAGGGGAGGGGTGGGGGCGGGCTTTTCCCCAAGGACAAAGCTGTGGATGAGAGCTTGGAGGGAGGGAGTGCACCGGCAGAAGCAGGAGAGGCTGGAACGGAGCCTGGAACATCGCCACGTTGACGAGCTGGGATAAGAGGCAGGATGCGGGGTCAGGAAGGCGAGGGACGACCCGGAGCATGGGGGCCTCAGAACTCCACGGGCGTGGGGACAACTTTCCAGAGAAAGGTCAACCATGTCTAATGAGGCAAAGGCCACAGGACTTGACAAATAGGAGTTTGTTGGTGACCTCAGAGAGGGCAGTTTTGGTGGAGGAATGAGGCTGCACGTTGTCGTGGGTGGGAGGGAGGGAGGTTGTCATGGGAGAAGGGCGGGTTATAGCTTGGGGGAGCAGGTTGGAGGGAAAGGGAGGCTCCAAGCCTCGACTGGAGCCCAGATACACCTGCAGAATCTTTCTCCCAGGGGCCAGCCCAGGGAGCCACTACCAAGCTCTTGGACTTGGCTGGCGATGAACCCATTTTCCATGCCTGGGCTTGAACACATACTTGAAGGATGGTGAGAAGCAATGCATGGAAGGGGTGACCAAAGGAGCTAGGGACCAGGGGCTTGGCAGGGCCAGGGCCCCTGATCTGTGCAGGCAGGGACTGTGGCCTCAGGCTGGGGAGACTTGTGGGCCAGAGCCCAGGATGAGCGATGAGTCTGAGCTGACCAGATGCTAGAACGAGTTGTGCTTCGGTCATGCTGTGAGCAAGCCTGACTGTGTGTGAACTACCAGTTGGTGTGCAGATACTTGGGGCTCACCTGGACAGCCCACCATCTGGCTGTCCAGGAATGCATGGCAGACACCCCATTGTCTGGAATACCGAGCACCCCATTGTCTGCTGCGGGTTCCAACTGCAGTGCCCGAGACAGGACCAGGAGTTGCAACTTAGTGGTGGCTTGTTGGAAAGACTCTTGAGGAAGACGCTCAGTGTGGGCGGCCGCTGGGCTTGCAGTGGTGTTTTGATTGTGTCCATGGAAGCCTGGGGTCCTGAATATAGGAGCTAAAGGCTCTTCTGGACTCTCAGTGGCCAGAGATTGTCTGGAGCAGTGGAGGAATGCAGAGCTCACCTGCATAAAATGACCGAGGTATAGGTAGGCCCGGGCATCATGCCCATCTAGGAGAAATGCTTGAAGGAGCCCAGGCCGAGGACTTTTACCCTGCTGAAGCAGTGTTTTCCAAAACGTGCTCCTTGGAATCTTAATTTCTTTTCTTTTCTTTTTTTTTTTTGAGACAGAGTCTCACTTTGTTGCCCAGGCTAGAGTGAGTGCCATGGCGTCAGCCTAGCTCACAGCAACCTCAAACTCCTGGGCTCAAGCAATCCTCCTGCCTCAGCCTCCCGAGTAGCTGGGACTACAGGCATGTGCCACCATGCCCGGCTAATTTTTTTTTCTATATATATATTAGTTGGCCAATTAATTTCTTTCTATTTATAGTAGAGACAGGGTCTCGCTCTTGCTCAGGCTGGTTTTGAACTCCTGACCTCGAGCAATCTGCCCACCTCGGCCTCCCAGAGTGCTAGGATTACAGGCGTGAGCCACTGCGCCCGGCCGGAATCTTAATTTCTTGATATTCTTCCACAGAAAAGAGTTCTGTGTGTGAATATGTTCATGAAACGCAATGTCCATGGCTCAGTGCATGTGAGTACAGTAAAGGCTCTGAGAAGTCCTGCAGGAAGAAACTTGTTTAACGTAGAATTTCCCCAAACTTATTCACCCACAGAAAGTTTTCCAGTTTAACACTTCTGCAGGACTAGCGGCTGACCTGGGGTAGGAGTGTTATATCTTGTGTAGTCCCAAGGGTAGTGTTTGGGCCAACCTGGGGATGTCGCAGAAGCAAATTTTGGCTCAGTTTAAGGAAGAACTTTGAACAATTGCAGATGTTTTAACCACGAAAGAGGCAGTAAAGGAATTGTAGTTCCTAGAGGCCTCAGAGTGTGGGCTTCTCAGGAGTTCTGCAGAAGGGACCCAGGCTCTAGGCGGGTGTCATCATAGATTTTTGGGGTTCTGTGAGTCCCGGGAGAGAGTCTCCTCAGCTGCCCAGTGGCGCTACTCCTTCCTCGGAGCCTGCAGCCTCGCTTGTATGGCTGTGCTCTGTGCCCAAGAGGACTTGGGATGCTTGAAATGAACAGGCTGTGGAGGTAAGATGTGAACACATAAATATCCTCATTAAGTCCCAAATACGCATCCCAAACTTTACATAACAGGAGCAGCAGCTGGAGACGCCCACAGCCCTAATTGCTTTTCTGTACTAAGAGGATGTCCTCTCTCCAGCTCTGCTTCTCCCATTCATTTAGGTAATTGCTGGAGGGAGCCAGCTGCGGCAGACTGGCGGCAGGCGGCCACGTTGGTAACACCACCCCGTGGGTGCCGCCGCGAGGACGGGGTGCCACGGAGCTGGAGCCTCTCTGCAGTCTTCACGGGGAGCAGGGGCCTGAGGATGGGAGGCCGGACCCCCAGCTCCCGTCCTGATCTCGGTGGGCCCAGACGGGGCGGCCAGGACAGAAGCCTCTCTGCCCAGGGACTTGACAAGCACGATTCAGAGCAGCAGGAAGGACCCAGGGCCAGGTACGGGCATAGGGATGGGAGTGGAGAGAGGAATTGACTCCATTCAGCAGACTGCTCAAGATGCCATCTCTGGCTATCCCGTTGGGGCAGGGCCCTGAGAGCCACCAGTCAGCGACAGCCCACCCTCCGAGCTCACAGGCCGGGCGGGAACAGTCATGGGCAGGAAAGCGCTGAGATCGAGGGTAGCTGTCAGGACTGGGGTGCACAGAGGACACCACAGGGACTGACTCTGTCTTGGGAACAGGAGGTCTGGGAAGACTTCTTAGAATAGGAGGCAGTAGGATTAGGCCTTAGAAATGTGTGTGACCCTGCATTTGGGGAGGTCCCTCCTGCAAAATGGGGCCAAGGTTACTGTGGGCTTTGCAAAGTGACATCTGGTTTGTTCTCTTTGCTCCTGGTCTCTAGTAACCATCTAGGACCCTGCTGAGGTTTCTTCAAGGCAGTCCTGAGCATGGGGCTCCCAGCTGGGAGCCAGCCGGCCTGGAACCCGGATCCTTGGTGGCCGGCCAGGGTGGGTGCCCTGGAGCAGTCGGGGTTGAGCCTCTCTTCTGAGGGGCTCTGGGGAGGGCTGTGGCCCAGGCGCTCTGCCCACCAGGCTTCCTGTGGGTGGCAAGTGAAACTTTTCTTCCTGGTTCTCTCCCAGCAGCCAGCTCCATTCCCCCAGCCCCAAGTGGCGGCTCCTTGGGCCGGAAACAATGTGCTTTCTCCACGCCTTAGAGTGGAAGTCAGCAGTTTGGCACCGTCTGGCTGGCAGCCTCCACCGGCTTCCTTTGGCACTTTATTGGCAAAGGCGGTGACATTTCTTTCAGTTGGGTGGGTGGAGCTGTTATGCAAACTCCCCTCTCCTCATTCGCCAGATGAATATTCATGACTCAGGCAATCTGTACCAGCCAGACTTTCCTGAGGGCGGCAGCTTTTCTTCTCTTCCTCTCTCTCTTTTTCTTTCTCCTTCTCTCCTTCCCAGCTCTTTGGAAAGCCGAAGTGCAGCTATATTTAATTTACAAATACAGAGCCGTTTAGCTTGCCTTTTGAGGTGCAGGCGTTGGGGAGGAGCTGCTGGGGACAGGGGACAGGGTTGGGGTGCTTGGTCCTGACCCTGTGCCTCCAGGTGCCAGTGTGCAGCACCTGAGGCCTGGGAAGCCTCAGGGCCCTGGGGGTCCCTCTGAGCGTGGCATCTTGGGGCCCCCAGGGCTGAAGGTACTGTAGCTCCTGCCAGCCTGTCCCGCCTTGGCCTCCGAGGGCAACGCAGAAAGTCCCAGGCAATGGAGCTGTCCTGCTCAGTTCATGGGCCAGCGCCCGCCAGTGTGTCACACGTCTCTCTCCTGCTTGTCGGGGCTCACTCAGTCCCTGCTCCACGCTCTAGGTCAAAGCCCGAAAGGCACCTGGGCATTTGCTAGCCATTGGCTTCCCGGGGAAGGAACCAGTCCCCAATTGGGGTCCAATTCCTTGGGGATGCACTGCTCCCTTTCTAGGAAGGTCAGCTACCTCGTTTTCTTTGTCTCTTTCTAACGAGGCACCAAGAGCTCTGGTGGAGGGGTCAGAATTTCCAGAATTTGCCAGGAAATTTGGTCTTAGCGAGGATGTGCTTGCGTGAGTACATCTTGTGTGTGTGTGTATGTAAATATTTACGCACAGCTTAAGGGAGTCTGTATGCCTACATCTATGTTCAAGTGTTTGAGTGTGTGTCTGTATGTGTAAGGGCGTGAATGTGTATGTCTCGGGAAGTCTGGGAATGTTTGCATGTGCGAATGTGCCTCTCCAGTTAGCGTTGCATGTGTACCTCTGTGGGGCTGGGGTGTCGCGTGCAAGGGTGCTCCTGGGCGGCTGAGCCAAGTGCGTGTGCGTGTGTGTGTGCGTGTGTGTGTGTATAAGTGAATTGCAGGTGTGTGTAAAAGTGAGAGTCTGGAGAGAAGCAGAGAGAGAGGGAGAGTGTTTGTTGGGGTGTATTTCCCGTGACCTCCCCATTCCCTTCCAGACCTTTTCCTCTCCAGGAAGGTGGAGGGGGATGTTCCCCTCTTTGCAAGTATTACAGATTCTATCCAAGGACGTGAACAGAAGGTTCTCCAGCACAGAGCGTCCTGAAATTACTTTATATTCCCCCCTCCTTGTTTCATCTAATCAAAATAGCAGTGCTAGGCTGTCCATTCTCCCTGCCCACTGCTTAGCCCTGGGGGAGGGAGTGGGGTGGGCCCTCTTCTCTGACCCCCTCTGAGAGCACCTTGCAGTCCCGAGCCAAGGAGCTGTCTTCCAAATCTCCTCTTTCCTCGGCGGCCCATGCTTAAGTGGCAAGAGCCAGCTGCCTCCCTGCCTGCCAGCAACTGCCAAACTCTTCCAGAACCCACATCCAGGCCCGGCCTCGTTTATAAATATGCAAATTTGCATCTTTTCTGGTATGCAAATGGAGACATGAGAAATAGCTAATTAGGGTCAAAAGAAGCATTCTGAACCAATTAGTTGTAGGGTTGATCCCTTTCTGCTGGGAGGAGCCTGGGCCTTCCGGCTGCCCTCCCTGCCCTGGCGCCCCGATGCTCTCGCACTCTCTGCGTCCTGTCTGGCTGGGACCTTGATTGACTGCAAGAGCACTGAAGCAGAAGTCGGTGCTTGGGTCCCACTCCCGCCTCTGACTCTGAGCTGTGTGACCCTGGGCTGGCTTGCCTGAGTCTATGTGTCTTCCTCTGTGCAATGGAGTGATGACAGTGACTGTCTTGTCCTGACCTATCTGCTCCAGTATAGGGAGACTTGGGAGGACTTGGACGTAAACAACCTTTGAAAATGGTACTAAAATTTCTCTGATAGGCACATCACTTGTACTCTTACAAAGTACTTTCTACCTTTGATCTCATGTGATCAGCCCTGTGAGTTAATGAATTCCGTGTAGTGACAGGATGGCAGTAGGTTTCATTCTCTGTGTCAACTCTGGCTAATTATGAATGGCTGCTTGGAGTGGTGTGTTGAGAAGGATTCAGAGGCCAAGTATGGATTTGCCAAAAAAGAGACTGTGGCCTGTTAGTGATATCTGCTGTGGCCTGGTGTTTGGACTCTGGCAGTTCATGTGCTGTGTATTTACTGACCATGAAAGATACAGAATTTGGAGCAGGAACCTGGGTTCTAGTTCCATCTGCTCCCTTGATTAAGTTACTTACCTTCCTGGCATAAAATAGGGAAAAGAAAACCTACGTCTCAGGGTTATGGTACAGATTAAGCAAGGGAAGGTTAGGCAGAATCTCTCTGTCATCTGGGAGGGGATGTGTGTTTAATTGATGTGTCAGTGGGGCAAGCGTATTGTCCCATTTCGCAGGTGAGCAGCCTGAGGCCTGGAGAGGGTGGATGACTTGGACAAGAAGCTGGCAGTCTCTCCGGGCAGGCCTGCACGGCATCTGGGGCTGCTCTGCTCTCTGCCACTACAGGATCCTGGCTCTCTCTCGCCAGCCCCAGGCTGATGCCCCAAGCGGGCTGTAACAAGTCCCGCTGGCCTGGCTCCACTTCTGGGTGTGAAATTTGGCTGAGTCGGCACCTGGGAGAATGGGGCAATTGCTATCCTGGAGCCGGGGGCCTGGGCCTGGGCCAGGGCCAATGGGCAGATGAAGGTCTGGTGGGCGGGTCTGAGCACAGGGGATCTCGCCAAAGCTGGGCAGTTGGCAGGAGTGGGGTGGGAGAGGGCCTGGCTTGAGGACAGCCTGCTCAGGGAAGCGGAGGGCCGGGCCTGAGCTCAGAACAGAGCGCAACAGTGTGTGTGTGTGTGTGTGTGTGTCTGGCTGCTGGCAGTGCCTGAGCCTGTCGGCCGGTGTCGCTGAGCATGTCTTCGTGTGTGTGCATGTGTCTGAGGATGTGTCTGGGCCTGTGCATTCTTCTAAATGTGCATGTGTGTGCCTTTTACAAGATAGGTACATCCGTGTAGTTGTGCACTTCTATGTGTCCAGGTGTGTCTGTGAGTCAGTATGAGCCTGCACATCTGTGTAGAAATGAACTCCATTGCACAGAGGAAGACACTTAGACTCAGGCAAGCCAGCCCAGGGTCACACAGCTCAGAGTCAGAGGCGGGAGTGGGACCCAAGCACCGAATTCTGCTTCAGTGCTCTTGCATGTATACATCTGTCGCTGCTCGTGTATGTGTGTCTGTGCATTTCTGCCTGTATCTGCCAGTGTCTGTACATTTCTTTCAATGTCTGCGCAGGTGTGACCATGTTAGTGAGCGTCAGTATCTGTGGACGTGGGTCCATGCCTTTCCGTTGGCATCTGTGCGTCGCTGTGCATCTGTATCAGCGTGTGTGTTCTTTCCATCGCCTCTGTGCCTCACTGTGTCTTGTACGTGTCTGTAACTGCCCAGGAACATGTGTCCGTGTCTCTGCGGCTGTCCCCTTTGTGAGTGCCTTTCTGAGTGTGTGCATCTACCCGGGAGGACTCAGGCATGGCGGTATCTAAGGTGAGCAGGATAGAATCTTCCGTGTGTCTGCAGCAGCTCCAGGTCGTCACTTCGGTCTTTGAGGCCCCCGGGACTCTCATGGGCCTTTGCTATACTTGAAGGGAAGCTTTGCTGTGTGTTTCCCAGGGCGTTGCCTCTGACCAGACCAGGCCTTGGTGCCACACAGGCTCTGGGGCTCTTTAAATTAAAGTCATTGTATGCCCCACTGCATTGTAATAATTGGCCCTCAGCAGTAGTTGGGAGTGTGAACTCCTGCCCTTCTCTCCTTCCCTTGTGTGGAGCCCTCTCCCACCGTCCTGTAGCGCTGGTGAAAGAAAGGTGGCCGCACTAGCTGCTGGAAGACCTGCCGGCTTGGACTTCAGAGCACCTCTGCCCCAGCTCCACCGCCTGTCAGTCGACGATGCCTTCTGCCACGATGGACTGTTTCTGGGATTCGACTTAGGCCTTCCCTGGCTGGACCTCCCTGCTCGGTCACCATCGTCCCCAGGCAGCCTCACCCCAGACATGGCTCCTCTCACGTGCTGGCTGTAAATGTCTCCTCTACTCATACCTGCTGAGAGATCCCTCTGGGTTGGGACGGTCGGATCCAGCCCTGCCTGCCCCACAGTTCCCGAGCCTGGGGCCCGGCCCACGGCAGTGCTGACGGATGATTCCGGTAAGAAACAGGATGTCCCAGCTCACGTCTTGCAATTGTCAAATGCCTCCTCCACCCTCCCTTCTCTTTGCAGTTCTTTGCCTTCGCTGATGATTTTGGATGCAATTTAAAAGAAGAATATTGATTAAAAATTGGAAGCTATAGAAATAAAAAATAAAAATGCTTAATACCCACAAGTATTGTTTGGACTTTAATATAAAGAGAAAGCGTGTTCAGATGACATTTTATAGACAATTCCAAATTAGCTTGAAGTTCTCAGCTGGTGCGTGTCTTGACCTTGTCCTCCTGTCGAAGGTTCTGTGGCTGGATGTTCTCCTCGGTGGAATTCTGGCAAGGCAGGCAGTGAGTGCAGGATGAGGAGCTTAGGCTTTGGGCTTGGGTAAGCCTGGGTTGAATCTCCCACTTACTAGCTGTGTGAACTTTCTGAACCTCTGTTTCCACATCTGTGTAATGGGGAGAAAGGTCCTACTTCCTAGGGTGACTGTGAGGTTGAGAGACAATGGCGCACAGGGCAGGGAGCAGTGCCTGGCATCTGTCATTCCCCCTTCAGATGCAGCCAGAATCTAGCCACTCCCTGCATCTCCAGTGCCATGACAGGGGGCCACGCCCAGGGGTCTGTTCTCTACACTGCAGCCAGTGATGCTGTTAACATTTAAGTCTCAGCACATCACTTACCTGCTCAAAACCTGCCATAGCTCCCATTTCATTTGGAGTACAAGCCAAGGTCACCACAGTGGCTCAAGTGGCTTCACATGCTCAACTCCTACCTCAATCAATCACTGTCTCTGCTGTTGTCACCCCACTTCCCTTCACCCGTGCTGCCCTCCTGGCTGCTCCTGGGCGTTTCTAATGCACCCTGCCTCAGGACCTTTGCATATGTGCTTTGCTGGAATGCTCTTCCACCAGAATTCCTCGTGGCTCCCTCCATCACCTCCTTCAGGTCTTTGCTCAACTGTCACCTTCCCCAAGAGGAACACCCATCTCTTTCTGGCTTATTTTTATCTGTGGCATTTGCCACCATCTAGTATGCCACCCTTTTTACTTAATTATTTTCTGTGTTGTTTGTCTCTTCCCCAAGAGAATGGAAGCTCCTTGAGAGCAAGGGTTTTGGTCTTTGTCTTCCCCATCTGGAACAGCACCTGGCAAATAATGGATGCTCAATAAATTTTGTTGAATGAATGAATTGCTCATCATTTTAGAGGGTACCAAAGCAAAGGAGTGCTGTCCACCCATTTGGGCAATCAGAGGTCATTGCTGTTATTCTCCTGCAACTTTGAAAAGGTGTCACTTCAGGATTACTTCATTAGTGAGGCAGTAGGGGTCCCTCGGAGGAAACCTGCCCCGTGGTCCTCTTGCTTGGGGCAGCCAGCTCAGGAGAAAGCACCCCTGTGCTGATTCCGGACTCAGCCTGGGAGTCAACAGTGAGTCCTCTTGGGCCAGCCTCGGGTCAGGGCTGTCTGCTTCCTGGTAGCCTCTCTCTGTTACTCCCTGCCCCGTGGCTGCAAGTGTTTCCAAGGTCAAGGTGGTCCTTCTTGGAGGCTGATGCTCGGGCAGCCCTCTCCATGGAAGTCAGGGCACTGGAACCCAGAATAAACTCAGTTTAAGGTGGGTAGTCCAGCCAGCACTGGAAGGTGGAGTTATCAGAAGGGCACGGACCAGGCACTGTAGACTCAGGGAACAGCACGGGCAGAGCTGAGTACATAGGAAGCACTTGGCGTGCTGGGGAGGGGCAGGCAGCAGGGAGTGGCTGGAGCGAGTCTCCTTTACTTGGTGAGAACTTCCTGAAGCCAGGACTGGGTCTGATCCAGCTCTGCCTGCACCTCCAGTGCTTGGAACAGTGCCCGGCGCTCATAGGTGCCACTGACGTCTGCCGGGCGGCCTGTTCAGCTTAGGCCCAGCAGTCTAGGAATCAGGTGGTCTGATCACCTCTGATGGTGCAGGTCAGACCTCGGAGCAGGTCCCGGAGAGGCCAGGGGTTGGTGGATGGGAGGATGTTCTTCTCCTCCTTTACTTGCGAGGTAGTTTCTCCCACAGTGGGCATGAGGGTTTCTCCAGAGCTAGAGATGCTCCCAGGCCAGGAGGGCTCGCCCACCAGGACACACATGGCTGAACATGGCTCTGTCTGGATTCTACAATAGGGTTCTTAACTTTTCTTTTCATGCTGTGAATTTCCTTAGCAGTCTTCTCAAATAGTGTTTTTAAATGCATAAAATAAAATACATAGGATAACAAAGGAAACTCATTCTATTGAAATACGGTTCCAACCATAGAGCCCAGGTTAAAATGGCCCGTTATGCTCTTCTTGAAGACAGGTATTCCACTCTCTGAAAAGAGAGCAGAGACGCTGGCTTCTCCTCCTGCACTCTGGGAGGGTGGGGGTCGGGGGAGGTGTTTGTGCATATTTTGGCAGGGCTGTCCCGGGGCGGAGGGAACAGTTACATCCTGAGATATGTGGAAGGCAGAGTTTGGGACCCTCAGGAGAAACCACAGGGAGGGAGTTGGCCAGGGTGGCCGGGGCAAGGAGTGAGTGCCCCATCTCTGGAGGTGGCGAGCTGGAGACCCATCTGTCAGAGATTCTGGGGCCAGGATGGGGTGGGTGATTTCTGCCCAGGTGGGAGAGGATTTGGGTTGATTTTCCCTGATCTTTGGGAGGTGGCTTTAGAAGGTGCCAGGGCTGTAGGGTCCTTCTCCTCTGCCAAGCCCTGAGCCACCCAGGCAACCCCAGGAGTGAGAGAATGGCCCCTCTCTGCTGGCGCCTGCTCGCCAGGCCCGGGGCAAGGACCCTGCAGCAGTGCCACTTCAATTTTGCCCCAGAACTGGTGGTTGGTCTTGGTCTTTTGAAGACATTGGGCTTCAGGCTAAGGAAATACCTTGCTGTTCTGAGTCTGTGCCCCCAAACCATTCCTGGGGTGGGGTAGATTGTAAGCCATACCACCTAGTCTCCCCGCGGCTGTCTAGAGTTTTGCTTCTGAGTCTAGGATGGAGTCTCTCCTTCTCTCCTCCGTGGCATTGTCACCACCCCCAGCAGCTTAACGGCCTTCAACATCACCTAAGACAGTCTTCGAAACTGTCCAGTCCAGATCCCCTGTGCGGTGGTGTGGATGGGGTAACCGAGGCCCACGGGGCAGGGGCTTTGCCCAGGTCGCATAGCCCCGGGGGGCAGGGCTGGTTCTGAACCCCCAGTGTCTGACTCATCTGCCACGCCTGAGTAGGGAACGCGGGCAGGAGGGAGGAAGGCGGCCTCGGGTCTCCTTTGACAGGCACATCATGCTTCCCACCTAAACCTCCTCCGTGGGCGGGAGCTGGGGACTGGTCTATTAGCTTTCTCCCGCTGTCCCCCGAGGGTGCATTTGTCTGTTTTGCATTTTTTCCAGGCTGTAGTTAGACAACTCCTGGTCCTGGGGGGAGCGCTGCAAAGAGAAAATGTCAGGGCGACACGCCGCCAAGATAACATTAGCGAAATATCAAGTCCTTTATGATGTCAGGAGGGATTCCTTCCCGCAGCTGAAGCTGCCTAATGACATCATAAAATAGACCTGCGGCAGCCGCAGTCCCCCCAAGTCATCAATCAGGCCCGTCCGTGGAGGGCCCCAGCTTGCGGAGTGGGGGGCGCAGGATTTTAAACTCAGAGGAGGCCCCGACACAGCAGCAAGCGCCGTGATGAAGGGAAGACACTCACAGCCCCTGGAAAGGGTCGGCCCCAGAGCAGTGCCCTCCGAGGCTGACCTGGGCGCTAGGAGACCCGAGTGGGCCCTCGGCCCCTCGGAGATCTTGAGGCTGAGTTGGCCGCCATGGCGTATTGGTGCCTCCCGGGGAGGACTGCACCCAGCCTGGGGTACCTGGGGGCGCTGAGTGAGGGAGGGGCGTCACCCAGCCTTCCTGTTTGCTGAGGGCTGACCTGAATCTCCAGGAACAGACAGGACTTCTGGGGCCACGGTCCTCATCCTCTGGCACAGCGGGACCAAGAGTCACTGCACTAGAGACAGGTTGAGGGGCCTTTGATTCCTTTGTGGCGGGCGTGTACTCCTGTTTGTGTTGTGTGTTTGCTTGGGGGCGTTTGCAGCACAGCTACAAACGGCTGGTCCAAGTGTGTCTGTGTGTGCACACTCACGCCTGCATGCCTCAGTCTACCTGCCTGCATTTGTGTGTGTCTGAGTCTCTGGATACCTCTGTATGTTCATGTGCTTGTGCTTATGCACGCCAGAGTGTCTGCACATGTGGGAACGGAGACGTGGGAGGGGACGGGGAGGACTGAAGAGAGAAGAGGGACCCCAGAGGGTGAGCGGGTGCGCGGGGTGTATGTGTATGGAACACGTCCCCCCATTGCGCCAGGCTGAGGCCGTTGGGTGTGTATTAGAATCACTGGGGAGACTGTAAAAACTACCCACGCCCTGTACTAATTTCAGATCAATTAAATCAGGATCTCCAGAGCCAGGGCTCAGGTACTGGTATTTTTAAAAGCTCCCCAGGGGATTCTAAAGTGCAGCCAGGGTTGAGAACCAGGGGTGTCCTGAGCCCTGCTTTTCAAGTGTGGTCCGAGGGCTGGCAGCACCGGCCTCACCTGGGGGCCTCTAAGAAACGCAGAAAATGAGGCCCTATGCCAGGCCTCCTGAACCATAATCTGCATTTTCACCCCATGATCTGTGTTGGAATAGGATCCCCAGGTGATCTGTGCATCCGTTAAAGTTTGAGAAGCATAGAGCGGCACTTCTTAGTTCGAGCCTGCGACAGAATGTGTCTTAACAAACCCTCTGGGGTGATTCTGTTGCAGAATTTCTGATTCAGGGACTCTGGGGTGGTGTCTGAGAATGTGTCTTTCTGATGAGTTCCCAGGTGATGCTGCTGCTGCCGACACAGGGACTCCACTTTGAGAACCAGCGGCGCGGTTGGAGCGTGTGGCGGAGGCCGACAGGAGCAGAAAGGAGTGGAGGGGTGTGGGTGCTGGGGGCCTGGAGGTGGGACGGAAGGGGAAAGGGCGTCTAGGCACCTGGGAAGATCATGTTCCTCCCAAAGAGTCTGCCCGGCCATTATCCTGGAGCCTTGATTTGTCTGACTCCGGGACAGGCCAGGAAGGGCTAGTGAACGGAGCAGGACGCATGCACAAGTGCCGTGAGAGCTGCTGGCTCTTGCCACCCCCACTCCCAGTTTCTGGTCCCCAGAGAACCTTCCTCACCCTTGTTCTGTTAAGAAAAGGCACCCAGGGCTGGATATTTCTCTGGCTCCTGAGAGCCCTGAGCCCAGCAAGTGATCAGCGGGGCTCCATAGTTAGGGTGACTGTGCATCTAGCTTGCCTGGGACAATCAGTTTGTGATTATCTTCCCTTCATTCTCAGAAGTTTGCATGATGAGTTGTATGGCTTCCTTACTAGTAATGGTAAGAGAAGTGATTAAAGTTTGGTTGGGGTAGAGGTGAGGAGGCCACGAGGCTGGGGAGGGGCGGTGACTGAGTGGTTCCCAGGGGAAGCCCTCCAGGCACTGGCTTCCTGGGTGAGGGGTGGAAGGGAGGGTCCCTCCCAGGATGCCCAGCCAGGGCACAGGGTTCAGTCTGGCTGTGGTGTGCCAGGGAGCCAGCCCTGTCTGTCTGTCTGTCCACCTGGTGGGGAGGCAGGAGGTGGGGTGGGGGTGGGGTGGGAGCAGTGCATGGGCAGGTAGAGGCTCGGTGGCAGCCCCCGTCCTGCCTGGGGCCAGTCTGTGGTATCAGCTCCTCTTTTGCCTGCATCTCCGGCTGAGGAACCTGAGGCCGGGGGAGGAGATAGGGATCAGCAGGAATACCAGAGGTGTGAGGCAGGCATGACCTCACCCAGGGTGTGCCTGCTCGCTCATCCCTGCCAGGCCACCCTCTGCCCGCTCCCAGGTACCCCCCGGCCAGGCTGGGTTAGACAACATGCTCCAGCCAGCCACGGCAGGGGCGTCCCAATGCGCTGGCCGGGTCCCAGCCAGGCTCAGGCAGGGAACTGGGTGCCTCTTCTGAAAGCAGCCCTGTAATGACCCCTGGGACCCCTGGGGGATTGCATCCCCTCCCTGGGCACCTGTGGGCTGGGGCAGTGGGGGGCAGCAGGAGGTAGAGCTGGGGGTGGGGACAGCAAGTTAGGATTGAAATTGAGTGCTAGAACTGTGGTCCAGAAAGAAGGGAAATCAGTACTTTCAAATGATCAAGGGAGCTTGGAGACCCGTCTCAGC